CCTACTCCCTGTGTGCCTTCGACCTCCCACGACTGTGTAAGGTTGCAACCTTAAACAATCAAAATAAGGTGCACTTCCAAATTTTATAATAAGCTTGATGTAAAAAATTTTTAGAATGGTTTGGGAATCTATTTTCATATCTAACTATAAAATTTTAAATAAAAATAGTTGAAATCAAGTAGATATAAACACATGAAAATTTTGAAAATGGAAGGTTCAGATAAGTGTTGCAAGATGTACATTCTTGGGGATCGAAATCTTTTTATTTATTTATTTTTTATATCCATACATCTCGATGTTGCGATGATCAATTAAATAGTTTTCCATCATTAAAACAACCTTTTTGGATGGATTCTTGAGGTGCACCTTAATTCTACAGTTTAAGGTTGCAACCTTATATAATTTTTTCCCTACAGTTGACCACCAACCGACTTGATAAGGGTTATGGTTGGACCTTGACCTGGATGTGACCAAGGTGGGGTCCAAGTCAAATGGACGGGGAGCCGACCTGCTGGGTCTAGCTTTTGGGTCCAGACCATAATCTGAGTTGGTTCAGCCCATCTAATCTGTGGGTCGATCAGACCTGATTGCTGCCCCTACGGGAATCCTTCAATGTCTGTCAAGGGTTGGGCATACTATTGGATCTGCATCAAGCTTTAGTTATTAAAATCTCAATAAATTTGGGACTAGGACTGTTTTGGCGACTTGCAGCTTAAAATTGAATCTCTGTTAAATCAGGTCGCATATTGGGATATGGTATAGAATAATTGGGAGGAAGCCATTGTAGAATCTTTCAAAGGGGTATCCTAGGTAGGAAAGAGAACAAGATTGTCAATAAACAAGACTCGCAATGACAAACCTTCCTTTCTTGTTGTTGGCAATGAAAGCAAGCAGTGGCTGGAACTTTCTTTTGAAGAAGAGGATGTCATAAGGGCAGTTTGCAGTATGAATTGTCACAAACCACTTGGGCTTGATGGATCCCCAAAAGCTTTCTTCCAATATTTTTTGGGATCTTCTTAAGGACGGAAAATGTTCCGAGATTTCCATCAGAGAGAAAAAGCTAACAGTGCCTTGGTGCTGAAGAAGGAAGGAAACATGACATTAAATATTGACGGCTTATAAGTTCGCTGGTAGTGTATATGATTCTAACAAAGGTCCTGGGCTCTAGATTGGAAGTACTTAACAATTTATCTATTTGCCATATGTTGTCTTTGTAAAGGAGTGGCAAATTCTGGATGAAGATATGATCACTCAAAATTGCATCCATTTCAGGCAAAGCTAAATGTCTAGGTATTATATGCGAATTTGATCTAGAGAAGGCATATTGCAAAGTGGATTAGGCTATATTTGATGATGCAATGAAACATGGATTTTGTGGAGAAATGGAGATCATGGATTTTTAGATGTTTATCCTTGTTCCACTTCTCTGTTATATTTAATGGGGAGTTTGAAAGGGTATTTCTAGAGCTCAAGAGGTTTCCAATAAGCTGAAACCTCTCCCATTTTTGTTTCCAATAATAGCCAAATTTTTTTAGTTGCATAATTAGGGCGTATACAACACTGGACCCCTCACAGGATTTAAGGTGTCTTTCCATGGTTCAATGATATCTCATTTGCATTGCTTAGATTGCACTTCAAGTTTCTATAGTGCCAGTGCCCAATAGATGAAGAACATATTCCAGCACTGCTTTGAAGAAGCCTCGAGTCTAAGAGTTACTATGTCCAATACAAGGCCAAAAAGGATATCAGTATGATCAGATGAGCTCTAAGATCTAGTTGCTAAATACATTAGCTGGTGCATTGAAAGCCATCAGAGATAATACTTGGGATTACCTTTAGGTGTTCGTAAATCGGGTGGGACTGTATGATATGGTGGCCTAGAAAGGTTCCCAAGAAACTTGCTCCTTGGAAAACTAGAATTTTGTGAATTGCAGGATACTTCACCTTGATTAAGTCTAGTTTATGTAATCTCCAATTTACTATATTTTGCTATTGTTAAACCTTCATCTGTGGCAACTAGAATTAAAAAATATGAGAGAGTTCTTGTATGGGGAGTTCTTCAGAGAAGAGAACATTTGGTTAGTTGGGACAGGGTATGCAGTTTGAATGAAAAATGATATATGGTAAACAAGAGAATCAGGGAAACAAATAGGACACTTCTAAATGGTGGTGGTGAGTAAATTTGGGAAAGATGAGCACATAATGGATCTTAGACGACTGAGCCAAAGGGAGATTATCAGGAATCTGGAATGGAATTAATACTTTTAGCTGCTTTGTGGTAAATATAAGAATGAATATGGAGAATGGTAGGAAAACTAGGTTCTGGGTGAGATGGTTGGGTGAGAACTCACTTGGGGCTCAATACCCCTCACTGTTTGCTTTCGCTAGAATATCTAGCAGTGCCATTAGTGGCTGTTGGTAATTATCTGCACCTGAAATTTAAGGGAAACCTGGGGGATGAATTATTGGATTTGGTAAATGATGAAATATATTACAACTACTCTTTATTTAACCAAATCACGAGGATGAAAAAATATGGACTACAGATAGTGCAAGTTTATCTAAAGTTAATATAAATGCATTTCAAGGGATTACCTAGTTAAAGTCCTAATGACCTTCTCAGGTTCTCTTAAAGATTGTGACTCAAATGAAGCTGAAGCATGGTCCATGTTGTTTGGAAGTAGGATCATTGATTAGAAGTGGGGGAGATCACTTATAGAGTGGTGATTCTAACAAAGCCATTGGTTGGGGAAGTGGGCAGTTCAAATGTCCATGTAGACGAAATTATGTATTTGAAGCATTGGGAAAGAACTACTTCCAGTCAAAGTTGGCATGATTCAAATCAAGAGGTTGATGCATTTGAAAAGGAACGGTTCAGGAAAACTGAATTGTTTAAAGAATAGATTGCATTTGTCTAGGCTCTTAGTTTGATATATTTGTGCTCAAATTTGTAAAGGGAAAATATACATACTTGTAAATCAATTTCATGTGTAATTAAAACTCGGTTAAATCAAAAGTTGAGTGCATTGTCATAATAAAATGTGACACCTTTTGGTTATTTTATGTAGGCAGAGCTATATTTATTTGAATACATAGGTGTAGCACGCATGCGGCCCTATTCTATCTTTGGGCATCGTAGATCTATTATTGCCTAAACTTTCGTGGCCTAAATGGCCTCGTCCTTCGAAGAAGCTGGTAGTGGAGGATACCTCTATGTAGCTACTTAGCAGGCTGAGGTCTTGTTCATTAATGGGATTAACTAGACGAATCGCTCTACCAAATAAGAGAAGTCATGCAACACCACCCATAGAAACAAGAAAGAACTTTCAGTATGTCAATCCTTACTATGTCTGGACCTGGTCAGTTTCCCCGTGTTAGGTCAAATTAAGCCACAGGCTCCACTCCTGATGGTGCTCTTCCGTTAATTCCTTTAAGTTTCAACCTCATGACCAGACTCCCTCCAAAAACCAAAAACATTGATTTCCAATAAGGTGCCGATGGATTCCTGAAAGCACCATCACTAATCCTCGGTCAGCATAATTTATTAACAGAGGAAAAATGATCATTTTTTTTGTTTTCCTTAGAATGGGTGGATTTGTTATGGAATGGATGGTAAAATTTAAATATTCTCCCAGGGAATGTTGGAGGTTCTAATCTAACTGGAGTTTGTGAGAATTTAGTAGCATGCAGTGATTTGGTCATTTCTGAGTTTCAGAAAAGTGACCTATTAGCTCTTAAGGAGGTGGGATTTTCAGAACAACTCCCAAGTAATGATGGATTCTATAAATTTGAAATAGAAATCATTTAGTAATACTTGGATATATTGTTTTACTTTCAATTAAACATAGCAGATACACACATGGACTGTTGAAGTCCACTGATTTGGGGATTTGTGTTTGTTACTTTTATTGCTCGTCTGAATGTGAGATTCACATTTGCAGATAGTGAGCAAAGTAAGAAAGGGGTGTCCACAAATACCACTGGTGCTCTACATAAATGGAAATGGAGGTCTTCTTGAACGCATGAAAGGAACTGGAGTTGATGTAATTGGGCTCGATTGGACTGTGGATATGAAAGATGGTAGGAGGCGCTTAGGAGATGGGATTGGCTTGCAAGGAAATGTCGATCCTGCTTTTCTCTTTTCTCCGCTTCCTGCACTAACTGAAGAAATTCAACGGTTAGTATCTCTGCCCAAATAGGCAACTTAATGAATGGAATTTTTGTTAAATTATATGTTTAGCCTGTCTTTTAGGGCAATCAAATTATGCATGACATTCCATATTCTTCTTTCACCTGTTATACCTTAGCTGTTGATCAATACGAATGGATTGCGAGCTGTTACAATTTTATCTATGAATCATTCACATTTTTTATTTCTGGATGCCAACTAGAGTTTTTTCTGGAGCTATACTATTTTTGAAAGTTGAATTATTCTTTTCAGAAGTCCAAATAACCTTTTATTGAAATATTTTTTTCCAGAAACTAAATTAATTTCCAAAAACTTGGAATGTTGAGCCTTAGGTAATTTATAGTTTTTGTAATTGTAAAATTACATCTAAAATATCAATTATTCTTCCTCAGGATTATTTGTCCTTCAATGGGCTTTTTGAAATTAAATCAATAGAAATGTTAAAGACGTTAAATAGTTCATCTCTTGGGTTCTTTTGATAAATTTTCCATTTTCTATCAATAGGTGATATTATTATCCTAGCTATTATTAATAAAGGCACAGTTTGCCAAGAACTTCAACTGTATGTTTTTCCTGTGCTTAATCGTTGTCGCATTTGATGTTCAAATAGATATGGCACTAGAGTGTTGATTACTGGCAGTACTTATCCTGTCTTTAGTGAAATTCAGTCAAAATTGGGGTTGCTGCAGTTTATGACTACAATTAGCCCTTCCTAGTGAAGTAGCCACTACAAAATTGCACGCCTGTTATTCTCTCAGTGGTTATTCTTGTTCCTTGTTCTCTTCTCTTATCTCTAATTTGATCTCGTGTTACTTGCTGTTTGCAAAATTACCAGCCAAGTATATGCTTTCTTGCTTGGTTTTCATCTTGTAGTTACATAATCGGTCATTTAAGGAAAGGACAAGCATTGACTCTTATAAAATGTTATGGCAGGGTTGTGAGATGTGCTGGGCGCAGGAGGCACATACTTAACTTGGGACACGGCGTACTTGTGGGTACTCCCGAGGAGGCTGTTGCTCACTTCTTTGATGTCACGAGAGAGCTGAGGTATGATCAACTTTTTGGAGAAGACCTGGCCCCAGATCTTGCTTCTGTACTTTGACCTCATCTTTGAACATTTCATGTCTTCGCGGTTTGTATCAGTAGAGTGCGAATTTCTTGTTTTTCAAGTGATAATTTTGATTTATTGGAGTTGACCTCTATGTTCTAGGAGAGGTTAAATGTGTATCCCCTTAAGACTGGGTTTGCAGCTGGCCAATGTCAAAATGAGCACGGTGGTGGCTTAGTGCAGTTAGCTCCGCCTAAATCTTCATTAAGGGCTCTGAATTCTTGTACAGAAAAATTTGTATGTGGGCCTTTTCTCCAATTCTTGGTGCCTTGACTTAGTTTTTATTTCTGTTATTCTATGCCCCTCCCAAATTTTGATGCGGACCAAACTATCCTCGGAACACAAAAAATAATTTTTTCATGCTTGGGGGAATATGGGTCAAATAGTAGGGTGCGCAATTGTCATCAGGCTTCGAAGCGTGAGGGCAGGTTGGTGAGGTGGAAGGGCATGACAATATTCTGCTTGTGGTCTTAGGAATATCGTCTTCAGGCACAAAGATCTGATAATATTCAAATGAAGATCTAACTTGGAGAAATATCTAGAGCCATACATTTCATTGTTGGAAAATTGTTTGATAGGCTAAAGCCGTATCAAAATAAGTAAAGCTTCACCTCGTCACTCATCGAAAATTGCAAGGAAAGCATCGGAAAACATTTACATTGATCATCTCGGCTTGACCATTTGGTTGTGAAAAAAAAAAAAAGATTTTAAACTCTAAAAATAATGTATATTGTAATAAAAAATCTTTTTTTTTTTTCACAACCAAATGGTCAAGCCGAGATGATCGATGTAAATGTTTTCCAATGCTTGCCTTGCAATTTTCGATGAGTGACGAGGTGAAGCTTTACTTATTTTGATACGGCTTTAGCCTATCAAACAATTTTCCAACAATGAAATGTATGGCTGTAGATATTTCTCCAAGTTAGATCTTCGTTTGAATATTATCAGATCTTTGTACATTTTTTCCTAAAAATAAGTATTCACATGTCCGTAAGATATGTACTATTTTTTTAGTTTCAAATTTTATTTTCAGTGCTGAAAATGATTTTAGGGCCATCATGACAATTTTTATTGTCGAAAGTACTTTCTGGGCTACGATATGAGGCTATATTTGTTTCCATAAAGCCAAGGCCTTATAAAAACTTCATTTCAAAGTACACATCCATAATTAGAACAACAAACTGTTCTTGATCATAACATCGTTTAATGTCTAATGATCCAACATGTGCCGTCCTTTTTCCATACGCACCAGGAGGGAGGCTTTTATTCTATCAAAGAGGGGGATGCTTCTTGTTCTAAGATTTCCTTGACATCTCTTTGTCCAATGGAGGTGAAAGTGAACGATGCGAACTAACTTGGTTTATATAGTTTAAAATTTAAGTTTTCAAAATCGGTAATAAAACTTACATAAATCTAATAATTGCAATAATAACTCAAATAAATAAATACAAACTCAAATTTGGATTCTTCCTTACCGCCACTTTAATAACTCATTACATAATAAAAATTACATCAACTTGAACTTGGGAACAAAAAATACAAGAATGTAATAGCAAAATTAAAATGCTAAAAGATTACCTCAATTGGATTTTGCATACCCCACATTGGGTCTCCTCTACCAATGGCGTACAGGATAAGTTTTTCTTAGATATCACAAAATTGGAAAGCTTTAACTAGAAACATTCTATGGATATGAGAGCATGTAGAGCAAAATAGGGTTTTACCCTTGTTTCTCTGTGTAGGGTGTGCCCTTTTTTTACTATTAGATAGGTTATGAGAGATGGAGAGAGAAAAATAGAGAGATGGGAGAGGGTGGCGTGCCACCTTGAGCCATAAGGCATAGGGTGTGTAGGGAAGACCCCTATTGAGAGATTATCCATTGAGAGATTATATAGAAGTGAGGTTAGGGTTAGGGTTTCTTAGGGTTTAACCATCTTTATGAAGATCCCATCTAGATCATTGATCAAAGGTGACCTCTGGGGTGAGAGATGTTATCCATACAATCCATAGATTAGCCATTATGAACTAATTGAAGGTGTTAAAACTTTATCCCTCTATTTTTTTAACTTAATCCGATCAAATATTTAGAAGAAATATATTGTACCTTCCTTTTTATTTTCAATCAATCCCTATGCATACTTCTTTCAACATCAATGTACCTTTATATTCAAAACTTTCCTTTACTTTTTTTTTTTATGTCAATTGCATGGTTCAAGGCACAAGTCAACACAAATAGAAAGAGAGGGAGAAAAGTGGGGTATGCCACTTCATGGCCACAGTGGGCCCCATGCCCCTCATCATATATGGGCTTGAATAGTGGGGCTCATAGAGTATAATGGGCTCTTGTATATTTTAATAATTTTAAAACTATAAAAATAATTTTCAGAAAAAGATAATTTATTTTTTCCTCTCAATATTTAAATGTTAAAAATTCAGTTTAGCTTATTAAAAAATCAATTTTGATGTAAGAAAATATCCAAAGACTTATAAAAATTTATTTTAATATTCTAAAAAGTATTTATAACAAAATCAATTATTTTGATCGAAATTAGATCCAACTTTGTTAAAAACGATGCAAAAATACTGAGGCACTCCATCTGTCCTAGTGACTATGTAGCACATTCACTTTCTCAAACTGACCCAGTAGTACCCATGACCAACTATCTATCATAAGGGGTTTATGATTGGATTACCAAAACCAGCTAATAGATGATGAGAACACAATCCTAGTATATGGACTACAGGTTCACCCCTAGGGAAGGGCCTAGGTCACACAGACCTATGCACACACATTGCAATTGGTGCAAAGGGGTTATCTCTCATGCCTATACATGCAACATTCTCAATAGTGTTCACTCCCAAATACGACTTATCATATGTACATGTCGTGTGATGGTCATGATGAGGATTTGACCATTGTCCCTTCTGACCTCCTAATCGCAACAAGGGTCACAAAGTCCATTGGTTAACTACCTTGGTCATCTCTGCCACTTCATCAAGGGGTAACTTTGCTAACCCTTTTCGGTTGTGCTATATGCCCAGATATAACATGGTTTTATAACTCAACTCGACCTAGCTCGTCAAACCTAGTTTGAGTCTTAACATCAGAATTGCCAACTTTGGCTCCTCTAGACCATACTCCCATTGAAGATCATTGTTCTACTATTATAAAATTCATTACATGCTCTCATAAGGCCTTTAAATGGCCATAAAATCCCACCACGAAAAACACTAGAGAGCTAGATTTCTAGTAACATGTAATCACTGTGGTGATAATTCTACCAGCGGCTTCCTGGTAAACCAACCTTGTCTATAAGAGACATGAGCATCTATTCTATTCCACTATGCGGATTATCTTAAAAATTTATTTGCCACCAATTGTGTTCACTTTATTTGCGTTGCTCTTATGGCATGTTTGATCGCCGGAACTTGATGCCAAAAGTTTTTGGGTAGCTGTTGTGATCCATAGTTTGTGAACTAGGAACTGTAACAATAACCACTTAGTTTCCCATTCCTAGAATAAGTGGGAACTAGAAACTTTTGGCCCCTGGTGCTGAGAGTTTCTCATTTTTGAAGGATTGTACTCATTGCACGAGCTTCCACCCCTTGGCCTATGGAGAGGCAAAGTTCTGGGTCTCACCTTTCTCTTTTGAACGAGCAAGCTAGGATGGCCCTCACTTGGGTAGTCTCTTTTCTCTGTATAAATCTACTTTTAGAGAGAGTTACATATATCCAAAACAGAGAGAGAAATGTGAATTCTAATGATCCTTTAGGTGGGTATTGTAGAGAGAAAAGCCATGATTTAGGGCTTGTGAGAGAAAATGCTTGAACGCCATTGTATTCTCAATGTTTGGATAAATTTTTCTGATTTGTAGAAGGGAAATTTGCTGCCCCACAAACGTAGGCAATTATCGAACCGCATAAATCACAATTTTTCTTTCCCTTTTTAGTCTTACCTAGACTTGGCTTTTATCCTTGATAATATTTGTATCAAAGATTTAGGAATAGAGATCCTTGTTGAGCAAGATGTTTGTTTTAGATTACATGTCTTTAAGGATGGGTGGAGGAAGATCAACCAACTACCAAATCTCAAAGTTTGATCGTTTGGAAGTTGAAGATAATGCTACGTAGTGGATTTGAAAGGCAAGGAGCATAAACTTGGAAAGGTGTATAATGAGGAGTTCAATGAGAATGACCAACTAGTGATGATCTTTTGTCCTTTGATGAATCCATTTTATTCAATGTTTCCTTAAGAAAAGCAGCAAAAGCATTTTATAAAACACGCTGAAAAATACTTACGACGATAAGTCTCTTCTAAATAAATTTTTTATGACAACTTTATAATCTCAAGATGGGTGATGGTACTTCATTGCAAAGCATACTTAAATGATTTAATACCCAAATTAGCAAGTTGATGACACTTGATGTAAATTAATGAACAAGATAAGGCAACAATATTTGTTCTATGCCAGAATTATTAGATGGGTTGATTATAAATTTAGTAGTGCAAATTCTCTTGAATATGATTGTGTTGCACCTGCATTTCTTGCAAAAGCTGTCAAGAATTTTCTAAGAATGTGTGTGCAGCATGGGTAGAGAATTACGGAAAGAAGTCAGTCAAGATCCAAATTTATATGAAGAATGATTGTAAGGAACAAAAAGGAAACTAGAAAGTCTCTAGACCTAGTTCTAATTAGAAGCCTATTACAAGTGAGTCTCTTGCAAATCTAATATTAGAAATTTACTTTTCTAAATATTGAGAAGTTATGTCTGTGGATAGGGTGCAAATTTTGCAGTATTGGGTATTTGTTTCAATTATTTTCCTTGACTACATTTAAGGATTGATTTTATAAATACCAATCATGTGATAAACGTATTATTTACATTTGAATAATGACTCATGTAAAATAATGAGAGTTACAGAAGATAAAATAAATATGTTTAATGGAGTAATATGTACAATCTTGAGTGCCGAACATATTCCAGGTCTCAAAAGGAATTTTTTTTATCCTTGAAAAGATTCGATGAGTAAGGTTTTAAGTTTACAAGTCGCAATGGTTATCTAAAAATTTCAAAAGGAACACTAGTGGCTACAAAGGGACAATTAGCAGGCATCTTTTACAAACTTATTGGAGAAATAATTTCGGAAGAGGTCGATTGCATAGGTTGATTTCACATATGCTATTAGGCCACATGAGCTAGTATGGACTTAAGGTAATTCTTGATAAAAACTCCTTCATGGTTTAGAATACCTCAATTTAAAATT